ATAAATCACCGCACATTAGCAGTGCAGCAGCGGCGGCGGCCACAGTGGCAGAGACGCCGGCGGCAGCAGTGGCAGTAGTAGGCCTAGTAGTAGCAGCATTAGTAGTAATAGTAGTAGTAGTAGTAGTAGTAGTAGTAGTAGTAGTAGTAGTAGTAGTAGTAGTAGTAGTAGTAGTAGTAGTAGTAGTAGTAGTAGTAGTAGTAGTAGTAGTAGTAGGCCTAGTAGTAGGCCTAGTAGTAGTAGTAGTAGTAATAATAGCAGTTGTAGTAGCAGTAGCAGCAGTGGCAGTAGCAACAGTAGCAATACCAACAGCATTAGCAATAGCAGTAGCAGCAGCAGCAGTAGCAGTAGCAGTAGCAGCAGAAGTAGTAGGAGTAGTAGTAGTAGTAGGAGTAGTAGTAGTAGTAGTAGTAGTAGTAGTAGTAGTAGTAGTAGTAGTAGTAGTAGTAGTAGTAGTAGTAGTAGTAGTAGTAGTAGTAGTAGTAGTAGTAGGCCTAGTAGTAGCAGCAGTAGCATTAGTAGTAGTAGTAATAGCAGTTGCAGTAGCCACAGTTGCAGTAGCAGCAGTAGCAGTAGCAGTAGCAGTAGCATTAGCAATAGAATTAGCAATAGCAGTAGTAGAATTAGAAGTAGTACTATTACTAGAATTATTATACAATTATTATTATTTGTTGCTCACCTTTTCCATGTAATCGTTTGAAGAGTTCGCTAAGAAATCGCCAGCATTTGCGTCCTCCCGTATTTTCTTGTTTATTTGACAGATATTATCGTGATGGTTGTAATTCACAGAAAAACAGTAAGTTATTCTTGAGCAAGCCAACAGACACTGAATGCGATTAACCATCTTTAGCTCCTGACTCCAGCCTAGCAAAACATGCTGTTTAAGAATAACATACTGCTCTGTGTTAGCAAGAGTAATATTGACTCCAAAATAGATAAAGACGGATGTCAAGACAGCAAGCACATACATGGTCTAGCAAGTATGGAAAAAATGAATAACGTCTTTTATCTTGTAAGTTCTATCTGCAATAAGGTAAGCACGTCTTATATTCGAGTCAGTATATTGCAGAAAATGTCATAGAGATGAGCACGGTCTTGGTTACTACAAATTTGTCAAATGGGAGGGTTGTAATATCGTGTAACATACGTAATATGTGTTACATAACCACGTTTCTCTAATATAATTTTTAATGAATAAACCAATACGTTGATGGTGCCTTTAAATAAGCAAGCTTTTTGTCTTGTTGTCAACAAGACTTCATCAGGCTGAATGGGCTGTCATCATTAACCTATTGGTTTATTCAATACAACATGTATTAGACGTACCGATACAAGACCAGAATAAATTAAATTTTTATAGTATATTGATTTTGATTGATTTTTTCAGGCCTAATTTTCACTTCGCTAATATCTAAAACGTTCTTCTATCTCTGCAATTATTACAAAAAGAAAAATTTGTTCTTCAAACTTCAAATGTTCTTTAAACATTTCCAAGAGAGTGGGAGATGTTACCTAAAAAGAGGTTTAACTGGCAATGGAATTATAATGCAATTACTTTGTAAAAATATATTCATCTGAAGTAAAGTAATGTAATTTGCGTTCTTAAAATTTAGGAGTTTCAAAGCGAAGCCCTTTGGAAGCCATGGATATTTGACAAATTGTGGATAATTTTTATTACTTATTTGATAGGCATCGAGCTACTATAATATGACTTCATGTATGTTTTTAAATGTCATAATCAGCTTCAAAAACTAAAAAACTTTTTTGAATAAAACAATAAACAAAGAGTATGCAATGTAACCACCTGATTTTCAAATCCTCTTTCTTCAAAGTGAAATTCTACATTTTGGAAATTTTGCATGAAGTCTGTCAACCACACTGTCTGTCTCTTATACACATCTAGATGTGTATAAGAGACAGTTAAAATACTGTACATCGAGACAGTCCATTCCCAGTAA